CCCCCCCCCCCCCACCCAGTGCTCCCATTCAGTATTAGGGTTTACGCCACCTGGCCCCATCGCTGTTTTTCTTTTCCGTCTCTTCCCTCTCTCTCTGTCTGTCTCTGTATTAGACCACTTCTTGTCGTTTCAGGTTTCAGGACCAGTGGAGGTTGACCACGCCCCCCCCTCCTGTGCCTGCGGCGCCCCCCACTGTTTCGGCAGCGTCTCTCTCTCTCTCTGCCCCCACTATCCACACTCAGCCCATCCTATCTTTGTGGGGGGGTGGGGCGCAAGGCGACCACCGACCCGCCACGGGGGGGCTTTATTATAACCATAAACGCTGAGATGGTGAATAGATCCATACACAGGAAACACAACACAGACTTCACATTTATACAGAGAGCTCAGCCAAGGTAGTGGCAGCTGTTTTAACTATGAGAGAGAGAGGCAGGTACAAAGAGGGGTTCCAGAGTTGGGGTGTAGCCCTCAGTGTACATGGCCAGCTACCTTAGATCTCCAAGGGGCAACAAGGCACCCAACATTTAACACTGAGGTGCTGAGGTTTTTTGGCTTTTGGGGAGGGGCAAGGATTGAGGGAGGGGGATTGAATTTAAAGAAAAAAAAAAAGATGTTTGGTTTTTATTTTAATTTTATTTTAATCCAAAAAAAAAATGTAATTAGAGAAAAAAATAAAAAAAAAACTTGTAAAAACATTGGTCTGCTGTGTTTTATTTCAGTAACATGGATAATCTCTCCTTCAAATGCGGCTTGGCCGGGATTTAACTGTGCATTTCACTTTTATTTCGTACAATATAGGTTTTATAAATAGAAAGTTTCCTTTTTGCTGTGAATGCGGGTTTTCTTTTTCTGTATGATCACAAAAATGGATACAAATTTACAAGCGAGCAGCAGATGGCGCTGTTACGACCACTGCAAAGCTGGTCAAGAAAAACTGGATTTGGTTTGGTGGATTTTTCGAGTCATCTTCAAATATAAGGGGAAGTCGGAGAGAAGCATGTATTACGTTAATCATAAAGGCCATATTTAATTCATTGTCGATGGTGTCTAAATTCGTCTGTAATCTGTTGCTTATGTGGATAGAGTAAGAAACGCTGCCGCGGTGGCTTGCAGAGGGAATGCCACTCTGGGTACCGAACACCAGGGGGCTTTCGGACAACATGCAGGTCAGCTGAGACTGATTCTGAAAATAGAATTTAATAGGCATTTGTGTTGAATCCAAGATACAGAGTAAACATGAGACAGCCAGTTTAACTCCACAGGATCTAGTCTGAATGATGGCATCGGTGAAAGCAGATAGAATAGATCATTACCATGTATGGTTCCTCCCAAGGTTTCCTTTTCTCTGGGGCAGCGTGTCCTTGGTGTTGCCTGCTTAACCTTGTTCTCTAGTTCTAGCACTTGTTCTCACAGTGCTCATTGTTAAAAGCACTATACATAAATATAAGTGTATTGACATTATATGTCTGGTTATGATTGCATGTAAACGTAATTATTTCCTGTTCCACCTTAAAAATAGGCACGTCAGATTGAATTTGACAAGTTTTAATTGGTGTATCTGTTTTTCCGGTGTCTGCAAATGTGTGCTGGTTCCCTTCGTGGTTCAGAATAGTTCACTGCGTAGTCTACCACAAAAATACTGCTCTCTGACTGCAAGCATCTGTTTAGTGTGTGAAAATAGGTGTGTTGTTTGTGTGTGCCCCTCGCGAGTTTCCTCCGATTGTTTCAGCACAGTACAATGTTAAGAATGCCAGCCGCTGTTGTACCTTTAAATATCTGCAGGTCACTATCCACACCATGCCTGTCCCTGTGACCCTTACTGGCCCGTGCTGTTTGCCAGTGTCCCTCTCATGTCTGTCACCCTTGTTTCTGTTTGGAATTAGTCTTTACCATTGACATACTGGTGCTCTTTTCTTAATATATTTCAAATTTATTTTTTCAGTTTATATTATTATGAAATATTGTTTTTCCTCTGTTTTGCTGTAACTATTGAGCACTTTTTTTTATAAGATTGCATGTGTGAATCTTGTATATTGGGTGTATTCTTTTTTTGTTCATTTGGAAATCCCGTTTTTGTCAGGCTAAACATATCAATTATAAATTGGGTTGCAAACTTTGGTCAGCAGGCTGGCGTGAGATTTTCGTTTCGAGGCAAGTCTGCACCCTCATTTACATGTATGTGCCAGTTGTATTACCATGTAAATAATATGTAGGGTTTGCAAACTACCTCAACGCTTTTGATTTGGGAAATTTTAGGTTTGTAATGGAATGATATAGATTTCTCGTAAAATTTCTGGCGTGAGTTCAGTTTCAGTTTTATTTGTCATATGCAAGTTACTACAGGGTCAACATTACAATGAAATGTGATTGACGAGAATAGACAAGTCTCTCAGCAATACAGTAGAAAGAAATAACAATATAAAGTTAAAATTGTAAAAAAAGTAAATAAAAATGTAACCGCTGGCATGTAGACTACTGAGGTGGGGCGGGGGGGGAGACAACGTTATTGCACATGAAATAAAGTGACAACAGTGAGCAGCAGTACAATTGTCAACGATTTAAGGTGGCAGTTAAGTAACAGTATTGCACAGAGTAAGAGTTTTTTACTTCTATTTTTTATAATAATAAAAATAAAAATTAAGTGCAAAGTGTACCTGAGTCTGTATTGTATAGGACGGTTCGAATGAACTGTGAGTCTGAACGTTCGTGTGGACGTGAGTCTGAAAGCATAAGTGTCCAGCTGCAGGTACGTGAGTTGGGAACCCTGATAAATCACCTACTTACTCCTGTTAAAGCATTAAAATACACTTATTCCTATTTTGCGGGTACATTGTTATAGTTTAATTTAGGTTGGCCGTCACCAGTGTATCATCCTTGTCATTGCATTTTTTTTTCGTCTGTGATCCCTGGTGCTCAATCGGGAACTTCTGGTAAAATCTTGATTGACACCAGCGACAGCTGGTTCATTATGCATGTCGTTCGCCGCTAATGCCGCTGGAATAGCTAGTAAATCTCCGAGGCAGGGCTTAAGCGGGACTGACTGATGGTCTGTTTGGGTAACGTCGTTCTGGGAAGATATAAATGCACCTAGGTGTTGAGCTGACACTATCTTTGTTCTTCAAAGAGCAAGGGCTACTAAATACACTGAAGGCGCTGTAAGCCAAAAAGCATAGCTATATACCAAGGATGCACGTAACTGGTGTGCAATTACACGTTTGCCGCAGAGGTGCGGCAATTTATTTTCGCGACAGCGCAAATGTCACTTATTTTATGCGCATTTGCGCCATTATGACAAGAAATTACCGCGCACTGCAACCTTTATACGGATATCGCGCACCTCTTTCGAGGTATAAAGATTAAATGCATTGTAATTTCTATTCATAACAGCGCCAACGCATATAAAATAAGCACGCATTTGTGCAGTTACGTCATCAAATTACCGCATGTATAGTTTTATAGGGCGAGTTATGTGTGTTCCTGGCAGTGTCTCATACAATAACATTATCGGTCTTCTTGTCAAATAACATACATTCAACCAGCTGCTTATCCAGTACAGGGTCATGGGTGTCATTTAACGTGAGAAATAACATTTCTTATATGGAATAATGTGTTCCTATGTTATAAGACTCTTTAAAAGAGGAAGACTGGATGAGGTGAGAAGGAATAGATGGTATGTGGTTCTCACACCTGTTGTCATCAGTCTCTCAGAGATCTGAAAGTATTCTGGCACCTTGTTAACCCCTGTGCCACGCTGTCAGTGACTCTTCAGTGGCGCCCCGTCTAATTCACCCTTTCCGTTTTAAATCGCTCTCCCAAGCGGTCTTCCTTTGTATAGTGGATTTATGTCCATCGCCTATGTTCTTAGTGTGCAGTATCGTTCCTCGTAATTTTTAGAAGATGGGATTTTCACTCTTATTTTATAGTCATAAAAGGTTCACTGCTAACTCCTTGTATTTGAAATGTTTGCTTATGTAGGTATTACGATTATAGATCTTCCTCCTCATTGAAAATATTAATAATATTTCATGTTAGATTTTCTTTAGAAATGGAAAAATGACATAAATCTCATGACTTTTCCACCATGATAAGGACTAAGTTTGTACTCTGGCAGTCTTTCTATTTTTGTGTGAGGTTTCATTTTCTCCCTAGTAGGTACTTTGTATAATTTGCATATTTCGTTTGAAGCATTAATTATCATCACTAAATGCCCTGGCTGTCGCTGTTGCATTCAGTGCTACCTGGATTCCCTCTCAAATGTAGAATTTTTAAATCTCAAGCTAAATGTAAAATGGATTAAAAAAAATATAGTGCATATTTATCATTATTATAAAAATACACAATTATTATAATGCATTTAAATTCTTTTGATATATTTTTGGGTCCATTTGCTATTATTCATGTGAAATCCCAAAAATGTACTGAAGTGTGTGTGTGTGTGTATATATATATATATATATATATATATATATATAGATAGATAGATACACAAACACACACGATGTGTTATTGTGCTCATAAATGTTAAAAGTCCCAAATACCTCCATAGTTAGTGTCTGCACAACGGCCTTTGGCTTTGCCTCCAGGGTGGTTTGACTCTGTAGGCGTGAAGGTCACTGCATTTGCCCTGCTTGTGACATACCAGTGCTGGGGGATGGCTGATGAACATGAAGTGCATGCCGAGCCTTTATCTGCCCCAGCTTTTGGTCGGGGTGTGACCCGTGCACATGATGACATCGAGGAACAATGGTGAAACATCATACTACATTACCAGGTGCAAAAAATGGCCCTAATTTGAGGTGAATTTTAGTAATCCCTTTAAAAATAGGATACACACTGGTATGTCCACAACATACAGGAAAAACAACAGTCAACATGTTACAAATATTTCTTATTGTTTGCTATTGTGTATTGTTTGATATCTCTGTCTTTGTAAGGCATCCTTAAGTGCCTGTAAAAGAAGTATTCTTATTCTTCCTATTATTATTATTATTATTAGTAGTAGTAGTAGTAGTTTTCTATAACCTAACAAAAGCCTATGGTTATCACAGTGTATCATCCTTTTGCTTTTAGATACTTCACAGCAGTTTGACATTCTATTAATGAACTAAGTGTTAAAGTTGATGTTTAGTACCAAACAAGTACTTTTATTAGGCAATGGTTATGCCAAAGTTTGTATTTAGCTGAACACAGATATGGTGAAATGTGTGAAGTAATGGATTGACAGCGGTTATAAATAAGCTGCAATGATAACCGGATGAAAGACCAGCACTGTGTGTTTGTTGGCCACAGAGTGCCAGTAGGGGGCGTTTTACTCGATGTGACCTTGTCTTCCTCCAAAGGCACAGACGGCCTGATAGGGCTCAGCTGATAGGAGGCGTGTAGCAGGGAGGAGAGGGGAAGAAAGGGTGCTGAGTGCACTCAAATGGGGTGGCCACTGTTTTTAACCCCCCCCCCATAACTCTGCCATGAAAGATAAGAGAGAGGGAGAATGAGGGAAAGAGAGATAAATAAAAGAGGGATATCTCAGCTGAGTCGGTATGTGTGTGGTCGTGTGACTCATAGCACAGAAATTTAGGGTTCCTGGCTATTGTCCCAGTTAGTGACAATGGCATCTCAAAAAGGCGATGTGGTGGGTGGTTTGGTGTT